AAAGGAAAGAGTTACTTTGAAATCGGCAACTCAAAGTGGGTATAGGTAGTTCAAACTCTGATCCTGGGCCACATCCTCAAAGACAATTTCCGCAGACTTGTTTTACTATTTCTTTTGGTAGTTCACTTTTTAAATATTTCTGATCTCTCCTCCCATTATACTAAGATATTTACAACTTCTGCAGTATTTTATTCTGGTTTATTTTTTGACAAAAGTTTCTCTTGGACTCAGATTTGTCAAATTGAAGTTTGATTTCAAATTTATTTATCTTCTTGTTTACATTCCAGTTTCAAAGATTCTCAAATTCTTCCTTTTACGACTCCCACTATGCAACGTAGAGGAAGCAATATTAAATTCTTGTAGAATTGTACAACAATGTCATTTTATTTTGGAATTTTTTTTCTGTAAGGGCTGGAAATCGGCAAACTTAATCGATAAAAGACTTCTCCATGTCGTTTACATCACAACGCACGAATTAGTTTGTTAGCTTGTCACTGTTATTGTGAGTGACACTAGGTTTATCTGGAAGTGGGATTTTAATGTAATGTTTTAGGACATGGAAGCTGATTTGGTGTTTATGGTATATATTCTTGAAGTGTGTTAAAATACTATTCCTAATCTATTTAGGTTGAAACAAGTAAAAGTGATACGTATCTTTTAATTAAAATATTTAAAGTTTGAATATCAATTTTGGATATGAAATAAAAATATGTCAGGGAGAATACATGTGTTGGATGTGCTTGTATTCGAAATACTTTAAACTCATAACATAATTATCCAAAAAAAAAAAAATAATGTTTCGTAAGTAAGTTTCATTTTATAAATATAAATTAGTCATTAGTTATCAATTTTTAAATATTACATAAATTATATTTTGTGGAAAAAAAAAAGAAAAATAAAGTATCCATAGTAATTAATATAATTTGTTAAATAAATAAAAAAATTATAAAAATATATAAAATATTCCTAATTTGAGTAGGAAAATTGTGTAAAAATGAAAGACGTACTTTCTTTCTTTATTATATAAAAGAGAGGACGAAAAACGATAGGTAAAGTAGACCAAGGTTTATACAAATGGTTGATTTAGTGGTCACCAAGCTAGATCACAAGAGCTTTAAAAAAAAAAACACGACACCACAAGATAAGAATGTATATAGAAATACTCTCAAGAGGTCATTCGTTTCGATCATGTAAAGCTGGTTAAATAATTTTTTCCCTTTTGTTTAATTTGTTCAATTTGGTGCATTTATTTTTAAAAGGTTTAATTTAATCTTTTGTTTTTTTTTTTAAAACCATATAATATTATAATTTTTGTCTAATTTAAATTAACAAAGATAATTTTTTAAAATACGCATGATGTTATGTGTCATTTTTTTTGTGTGCCATGTATAAAACGTCAACAACATTACTCTAAATTAAATAGAAATGACAACATCACCTCGTTTATAAAAATTAAGACTAAGGTTTACGCACATGGGTCTACATCAATTGAACTTCAAATTCAAAGACAGCATTGTGGAAAACAAGTGATAGTTTCCTCACTTTAGTGAATTTAGTTTTGAAATTCTGAGTATGTTCTAAAGACCTTGAATTTTTTTTAATATGTGATATGTAATTAAATTAAAATAGATTTTCTTATTCGGAGTTTATTTTTGGTGAAGGTTACTTGCTATTTGATAAATATACAATAAATTGAATTTAATTTTGTTTCAAGAAAAAATTTTCAATTTAATTTAAGTGTTTAACATTTTATCAAATTGAGATATTTATGATATGTGATCTTATTCAATAATAATTGTATTACCCAACTTGATCTAACCAAGTTGGACTCTTCCTACTGGCCAAATACTATACCTCTAGTCTAGTCATGTAAAATGAAATTTTAGGTGGCTAGCTCCTAGCGACTAACAATAATATCTTTGCATGGATATGTCTCAAATATCCTTAATTATTGTAATTAGGAAAATTATCTCCACTTAATAGATAGGATATCCTTAGTGCGAAAAGGGAAGGATTCGTAGTGCTACCTGAATAGCGGTTGCTCATGACACATGGTGGGAGAAAGGTTTATGTTTTTAGACCCCCAATCACATGATGAAATAGTCTCCTTTAGGGGAAGTGGAAAAGGAAAAATTGGAGGATAGGTAAGATTAGTAAAAATTATATGCTTATAGTTGAAAATGTGCTTTATGTTGAAGGATTAAAGCATAATTTGCTTAGCAAGTTAATTTTGTGACAATGAATATACCGTATCCTTTGGCAAAGATTTATTCATAGTCAAATGAAATAACAAGTTTACACTTTTTACTACTAAAAAATAATCTCTAGGATATTAATCTGGATGATATGGACAAATAAAATGTAACTTTTTTAGTTTCTAGAGAAGATAAAAGATAGATTTGATATAAAAAATGTTTGCACGTATCAATATGAAACATATTTCAAAATTAAAAAAAAAAATAGGTTAGTAGGAGAATTGTCTAAGATTTCTTAGAAAACTCGTTTTTTGTGGAGTATTACATAAAGAAAAAGCAAGATGCAAATTTCTTGAAAATTTTATATTCTCTATAAAGCATGAGCTCATATAAATTATATATTTTTAGTATAGAATAATTTTTGTGAAATTATTTTAAAAAATATAAATTATTTTGAAATAAATTGAGTGAAATTACTTTTATGTCCTTAATTAAATCTAAAATGACAAAAAGACCCTTGTGCTCATGATGTTAGGAAATGAGGTGAAAAGTTTCTCATCACTAAATCTACACGAAAGAACATAAAATTGTGTGAATACATATATATATATATATATATATATACCTCTTGTGTTGGTAAATCATGCACTCTATTAGAAGATGTTGAACCTTGATGAAGACCATGCGAGCAGCCTCCTCATCAAACTATGATTAAGAGAAAAGACGACATAGCTAGCTGTTTTCAAATCAATAGAACTAGGATTTCACATGTGTGCACTATATTCAACGTATTTTAGTTTTCTAGCAATACCGCATGATAAAAACATGAATAATTTCCTTCAAGTAATTAGATTGGAATTTGCAATTAAAATTTTTTTTAACCATTAAACTTGATAAAATTAAATAAATTAAACCACTCATTTTTTAAACAATAATTATAGAATGAGAAATGTTAATAACATTTTCTCTAATATTTTCTACTATTGACTAAATTGATTAAAAATCACAAATTTTGGTGAGACTCACTTCTAAATCAAGAGATAGAGACTCGTTAATTGAAACTGAGACCCACAAAAATTTAAATTTTTCAATAAATTTAATTTAAAGGTAAAAGCAGTGTTAGTGATATTTAAAAAAAAAAACATAATGGATTTTCAAAAAAATTAATCATTTGAAGTGTTATTTAAAATTTCATTTTACTTGAAAAACATTGTCAATAAAATTTGTATCATTTTGAAAGTTCTTTAAATTATATATATACAAGTTATTTTGATGTATAATATTTTAAATCAACTTAACAATTAAATTCCTAGCTTAAAACTCTATTCATGCACACTATTGAATCTATGCTTTCACCGTGTTTATGTAAGCCCTATCTGAACTAGTAATTATTCAAGGTCTAACTCGTTAAGTTATATAGGATGTGCAAGTGTTATCAACTCTCTTAACACATCAATAAAATAAAATAAAAAACTAAACTAGTATTTAAAATATATAGTAATTTTAAGTATAGGAGAAAATTAATTATTGATATTACACTCACATGCATGACAATTGTAAACACGTTGAAAAGATTACTTGTTAACTTTTTCCATCAATGACTAAAATCATTTACTTTATTCGTATTCACTTTTAAAAAAGTGAGATACATGAATTTAAAAGAGTAATACTAGTATCACATTCTTTCATTCACTCTTTTTAGTATTTCATTTATTACTTTATTTATTCTTTCCATATATATATCTCATTCATAATTTCATGAATGATAATAATATTTGGACAAGCAAACTCACCATGGCGATACAATAATAAATTATTTCACATTTTTAAATATCATGTCTAATGTTCGAGTCAACAAAATAGCATTGATGAAAATATTAATCCATTTGTATTTTCAGTTTCCCTTTGATTATGCAGCAAGAAACAACGGATATAAGAACAACTCTAATGAAAGTTGCTTGTCCCATGAAATAACTCAAGTCCTGATTTCTTACCATTAGAAAACTCTGACGTGGCAACATGAGTTACTTGAAGAAGAGAGTTACTTCCTCGAGCAACTGTTCCTTACCAGATTTCAAGCAGATCTTAATGAACATATTTAAGAACGTTTCGAAAATAATAATGATGAAAATTAATTTCATATAATATTTATGTATTTACTATTACTTTATTTTATTTTTAATATCTACTTATTGTATATTTTTTTCTGTAATTTATTTTCTTTTATTGTAGTGTAATTATCCTTTTTAATAAAAATTTAAATTTGGTTCATAAATGATTAGAAAAAAAATTCTAAAAATTGAATTTCTTAAAATTTCTTATCATTGGAATAAATTTATGCTTGAGTTACTTGATGCTGATATGACACACTAAAGACCACTCATTTTTTAATGCATGAAACAACTCAAATGAGTTGCTTCCATCGGAGATTGCCAAAACTTGTTCCCATCAAGTTCGGTAAAGTGGCCACAAGCATGTGAGTGAAAAGCTAACAAGTGTACTCTGTACATCAGTGAACTTACCATGTTATTGCTGCAGATGAGCAGTTCTAAAAAAATGAACGCATTTTCAGTTCAGCTAATATTAACTTCCTCAAATGAGAAATAAACAATACAAAGATGTCCCAATGTTCTTCAGCAAGAATGGGAATACATCATCTCGTCAGACTCGTGATCAAGAACACAAATCCACACCTGTAACTCCATAGGTTGCTGGGTACTCTGATAATCCCACAGAAAACTTGATTCCAACTATATTGAGGAATAGAACAATAGTACCATAAAACAAACACCTCCTTCCTCTATTTGTTCCTACATAAACCCTGCTTCCCCTTTTGGTCTGGGAAGCAGTTGAATGGTAGCAGAATTAAACTCAGTTCATGAAGCTTCAAATTACCACATTGGCTTAGTACAAGTAATTTGTTTGAGCCATGAGCATGTAACCAAGCTCAACCATCCACTATGCAGCTGGGAGAGCTGAATGCAGTTTCCGTTCCCAAACTGCTTCTGGCTCTCGAGGGATCCAACTCAGATACTACTCAATTTTTAGAACTGACAAGAGGAAGGGAACCATTTCGACAAGAAATAATATTTCATTTCTACAATCAGCTTAAACAAGCCATAACATGGAATATGTAACAATGCAACCAAAAAGTACCTACAAGTCATAAAAAACATATTGGATTAGGAATTCATGGGGAGAAGGGAAAAACAGACTTGGAGATAATCTTGGATATCATGGTACAAATGCTATGTGTCACATGCAAAGCCAATGGCCTCAAATTTGATTCTATCCAAACTTGTCATTCTCTTTTGCGATTCTAAAGGTCATTTGAATTAAAAACTCTATTGTAAAACCTCACATAAAAGGCACTAGTTTTGCATGAAAAATGAAATTATACATTATACAAATGAGAGCCCTGAATGTGTAATTCAATAAATTTTTCCAACTTTTCATTTAATTTGAAAACACCCAAGTGTGTACTAAAGAGAGAAATGGCATACCACAATGGAGAATAGGGTAATGACAAATCAAGGAATGGGTATGGCCACCTGTAGCAATGATAATTATCACCATTGTTAGTAAAACCATTGTGTGCAAAAATTTTCATGCAAAAGTATAGCATAGCTTACCAAATCCAGATGAAAGCATGAATAGCCCACTGAAAAATGACATATAAACTTGTCCATAACACAAAGAAAGATATCCCAAACCAGTGTATTTTCTGAAACGTAGGTTAAACTAATTCAACATGTCTTAAGCAATAACACCAAATAAGGATCTTAAAAATTTGAAAATATTCACCAGACAATTTAGAGCTGCATCTCCAAGGAGCAAAACAACATTTAGAGTATGCAAGTTCACTGTCATCTACACAAGATGGAGAAATGTTCAGATTAAATCATTTGGAGACAAGGGGAGAAAAAAAAAACATTATCACAACAACCAATCATATCAAGTTGACATGCATGACTGATCCTTGTAAAAGATATATCCACTGTTGTAGTTTGGACATTCTAATATAATTAATATTAGCAACATATTTTCTAACACACTCTTTTAAACACGTCTATAATTGGTTGAAACTTATTGCAAATCACAATTTATTGTAGGTTGCACTTCTTTTTTAGACGAGTGTCTCAAGATTTTGTAATTTTGAATAAATTTTAACCAATAGAAGACAATGTGCTAGAAGAATTGTATTAGAGAGTGTGTTGCTAAATCTAAGATTGATTTTCAGGCTATAGAAACCTGATGAAAGGGTTAGGAAGCATGATCTTCCATTATTATTATTTTGATTTCTCCCCTCAAAACATAATATATATTATATTGGTTTGAGATTCACAAAAGATCTAATGTGCAAGAATACAAGCATATCACAATTAAAAAAGTTTTGATAAAAAATATACGGAGCATCATGAATCATCATTTTTAAGTGCCAATTGAAGGTGAACTCTTGGATTCTAGCAACCATATGTATGTATCCAAATTCTTACTAAATTTCCAAATCCCATATAAAAACAGAATTACAAGAAACTCCTTTATAATCTAGTAATTGCTCAAGCTAAATATGTTTTGAAAAGGATAAAAAAATCATATCAACTGGCTCACCACGAGCACCAAGCTGAAAACTCTATAACAGGCCAGTGCCACATCCACCCATTAGGTTAGCAAAAAGTAAAGAAAGTTAATAAACAATCAATTTAGCACAAATCAAGAAAGAAGAAAGTACGAAGTATAGGAATCTTCAGAAGGTTACTCACGAAGTTAAAATCGTAATCCCTCAAAGTAAGAAATGGAAATATAATGAACCAATAAACGGAATCTGTAAGCATCACCGCCCCTGCATTCATCTGTTTAAAGACAATACTAAACACATTAAAATCAGGGGAAACTAATGTGACATTGTAGTTAACATGGAGAAGTTAAATTCTAGACATTGTTAAAATGATGCCTAAGTTTTGTCGTATCTAGTTGAATGTCATAAACAATATGAAGTCAAAGTGATCTTAAGTTTTTCATTCAATAAGGTCAAAAACTGCCAGAATTAGTTTGCATCCATTGCCAACCTAACAAATTAGCATATTATGCATATAGAATCTATAGTTACACAATGCATTTGAAGGAGAAAACAAAATACAAAAAAATGCGAAATAAAAATGAAAGAGAAGAAAAAAATAATAATAGATGTCACACTTAAAAAGACATCAAAATGGTAAAGAGAGCACAGAAACATATGAACTAAACAAATGTATATAAAGGAAAACAAATAATTAACTTTTGACTTTGATTTTCATTGGACAACAAACATGGGTTTCCATTTCTCTATAAACCTAAAGTTGTTGAGTTCTAGTTTATACCTGGAATAAAATTTGAAAAATATAACTCCAGATTGGTGCAACTTGATTCTTGTGTATTTCAGCATGGGGATCAGCAAGGTCTTCCATTCTAGACAGGTTTGTAGAATCCTGGTGTAAGAGAGGCATGTATGGCCCATGCTCTGCATCCATTCTAGCAATATTAACATTAATGACGGTGCTTGATTTTTTATGCTGATAACACCCATACATTGATAGCACAGATGCACACTACAAAAAAAGAAATTTCAGATTGTGAGATCAAATATTCTAAAAGACTTTAGAGACCACTACCCGTGAAAGCTTTTTCCTAAGTACTGTATTTTTAGCATAAAAAGTATCATCATAAAGTGGCATAATAAGATAGATGAACAGGAATAATTCCATTAAAGGCCTCTAAGAAATATTACGAGCCATACCCCAAAATAAATCGTAACTAGAGTGAAGGTCCACCTGCAAGAAATTGAAAATAACCATCATCAAAAGAGTTCAAAGCTAATGGTAAAGACATGGAAAACATTGAAATGAAACTGAGAAAAAACTAAGATGGTTAAACACCCATAACTGGCTTCAAATTCATTTATAAAGCTTATTGCTGAACTTATTTTCTAGTATAGCTCTAAATCACCAACTAGAAAAACAAGGTAGTAGCAACCAATTCCACACCACTCTAAGTGTATGTTTCAAGACTCAAATCAAGTAAATATAGAGAAAAGTCAAGAGAAAGGGAATACTTACTGAGTGTAATAAAAAAATATGGAGCCACTATTAATATGAATTTTGGCGATTAATGTTGCCAAAAGAGAAGAGAATGCAATAACACGAAAAGCTAGCAAACAAACTGGGTGAATTTCTTTAAGGCATGGTTTCCATGCTTCATCACCGGACAAAGTCCCATCTTGCTGATTTTCTCCTTTAACAGATCTGAATAGCCTTGAACCTTTATGCTTCCATATTACAAGAAATGCAAGGACCATAGACAGCAAAACAATAACTGCACACAGGTAGAACCTCCAATTTAACCAATAACTGAGACTGGTTGTATCAGTGATATCCTGCTGCGGCATCCTAATAGATAAACAATGATGCTAATAATAAAGTTAACACACTTTTGTTTCCAAAATATTCCTTTTACTGCCACTGAGAATGTAGCCACTAGATAAGTGTTTTAGAGCCAAACTGCAATCTACTGTAATCACTAGCAATGTAACCAAAACATTATAAGTTTGAGCAAGTATAGTTCTCTCGGTGTTGATACTTGCAGGGTTTTAAATTGTGCTCTAGAACAGCAACTGCAACTATAGTATTGTGCTTTTTGAGGTCTCCGTGGCTGTGATCAAGAAATTTAAAACATTGGTTAATAGTTGTTAGTTATAGATCCCATGTACTGCATCAAGAAATTTAAAGCTAATATTTGTTAAGGAACATTATAAAATGATTACAGTCCAAGAATATAATCCCCTGATTAACAATCAGTTTCTTGATGAGCTTCTTCTAAGTGTGTGTTTGGTGGCGTGTTGCATCAGTAAAATTTCACATTCGATACCCATGTCCTCAGCAATAAATACTAGCTTCTGATTGTATAAAATAAAAATATACTAGCTTCTGCTTTCTCACGTGGTTCCAGTTATAAGGTTCTAAGACAAAACCAATCACAGGGTAAGAACATAAAATCATAACAGTACAATCAAAATGTAAAGTCTCAATTAATTAAATATATTCCATAATTTGATAAATCATAACTCACCCAAGGAAACAACATCGCAGTGTAAAGCTAGTTAAATTTGACCCCACCAGTTAATTTTCGCCAATTCATACTAATGCTCTTAAAATTAGGTTCGTACCCAGAAATGCTACAAATCGTTGAGTAAAATAAAAATGAAACTATTTGCCAATGTTTGAAGCTAATTTTCCAAAACATAGCAATAACACATATTTCCAATAACAAAAAACTGAAAACAAAAAGAGAAGAAGATAGATTGAAGCATGTGCAGAAAGTACACAAAAATAATAAAAATTTAAATGTTTTGGACGTTAAAACGTAAGAATCTTCCAAATAAAATCATGTGAAACATCATAGGATATTTGATGCAGTCAAACTAAAGGGGCAAAAGAAGGGGAAATAGAGGTTTGAAGATTAGGAACATACGAGGAGATGGTAAGGAGAAGAGGAATGTGGGCAATGAAGAAACGAGGGAAGCGGTGAGTTCTGCTTCGGGATGCCTCTTTTTTCGTTGGTGAAGGAACTTCTCTCTTTTGGGATATAAATTAAATAGAAAGAAAGGCACAAAAATGGCAACAATGCCTTTATCCAATTAATTAATGTTGTTAAATATATTATTTATACATTTGATTTATTTTTTAATAAAATTTTGACTTTTAATTTTATATATTAAACACAACCAACAAGTGAAAAATAAATATAAAAAAAAACTCTTCGATTATGAGTTTTAATACAATGCATGTACCATGTTAATGTACTGAAAAAAAAAAACGAATTGCGAAAATGTTTCTAAAAATTCTCTTATGGGAACATTTTTCTTTAACGATCGAGTTTTATTTTTTGGATTGTTTTAATGTGTTATTTAATTTATTTTTTTATTTATATATTTATTTATAAATTTAATTTAATATTTTTAAATAAATTATTTAATAATTAAAATAATGAATATTTTTAGTTCGTAAAATTTTTAAAAGTTAAATATTTATTATATATAACAAAA